GTGGATAAAATCAAAGTACTTTTTCGTTCCTAGCCTCAAATAATTGCGATCTCTTGCAAACAGTGCCGGATCAAGAGGGGCTAGGGGGGCTATAGCCCTGGGTAAGCAAATTTAGGGGCCCCCAAAAATTTTAGAGGACCTTTTTTTTTAGTCATTTTTTCCGTTCCCTCTATAGAAAAAAACCGCAGTGCATTTTGGTCTTTGTATTCACCGAAAATAAACAAAACATATCATATCAGCAATAAACAACGTTGATAGCTATGAAATTAGTTTGCAACATGATTCAAATGATATTTACATTGATCTATGTTTTATTTTTAAACATTTCAATTGCTATTCAACCAGTATTTCAAGAAATATCTAGTCAGTTTAATCAAATAGATGCTGAAGAAGTTGTACAGGAACAAAGAAGCTCTTGATCAAGATGTTTTTCCTTACTACCTAATATAAGCCGAGAAAAAAATACACAAATACTTAATTATAGACGATAGTTTGGCTGATTTCGGAGCTAGAGGTGCTTCAAAGCATAAAATCTCTGGGTATCAGCTATTTAAGAAGAACTTCGTTAAAAATTGTCAACACTGAAATAAATTCTTTATATATTAGAGCTAACGTTTCAGCTTCAATAAATAAAAAATCAGGACCTTATTTATGTACATATTTGTCAAAAAGAAGGAGATATTTTGTATGTTAAATGTAATTGTAAAGCTGGTATGGGAGGATGCTGCTAGCATGTTGCTGCAGTATTATTTCAATTAAATAAATATAAACAATTAAATCTAAACTCTGTACCATTTGATAAAACATGCACAGAAGTGTTGCAATAATGGCGTGTTCCTGCTGAAAGAAAAAATTCAGAACTAATTAAACTTTCTTTGACAAGAGTGATTTTAAAATTTTCTTTGACAAGAGTGATTTAGAAAAGGATTTAAACAACTTACGAAAGTGTCCTTATGTATAAGAAAAAAGAAACTTTTGTGCAACCCCAATTTTTGCACAAAATCTAAACGAGGAAAAAATTTAAAAAACTGTCTGATAGTTTATATAATCTGGGAGAAAGAATAACATTTGGAAATCTTTTAAAAGGAAACAATTATCATTCCACGTCCTTCTATGAAACATTGATATCTGAATATCAGCTGAAAGTAAAAGAACTGGATTTAAATTCAGATATTATATTTAACCTTGTTGATACCATAATCAATAAATTTGAAGTAGAATTCAGTTACTCATTTGAATTTGATGAAACTCAATGTTTGTTTCAAAATATTTAGTTCTATCAAAAGAGAAAATAAAGACTTTGGAAAGAACTACTTTATCACAATCCAGGGCTGTGGAGTCGAAGTCGGAGTTGCAGAGTTGCGACATTTTTAGCGGAGTCGGAGTCGCTAAACAAAATCGTGACTCCGACTCTAATAGTAAAATGTCCCGGTATTACACGTACATGTACAAAACATTCAATTAACCTTACGTTCATACTAAACCTTAAAGAACGTTTCTTAAATTAGTCAAAAAAGAAATTTTTAAGTTATCGCGTAATATTTTTTTAAGAATTTAAAGAATTTTTCAAAAATTTTGCGTTGGAGTCGTTGGGTATTTCCTGCCTCTATTTCGAATAGAATTTTGAAAAACAATAAAAATAACTTTTTTTTGAAAATTTAAAATCATTTTTTTCGTCTTTAATTTTGCATAGTTTTCTTTTATATTAAATTAAATTTACAGTGATTCTTGGTTTTTTTATGTTGTTTTTAACTTGTTTTGGCAGTAAAGATGGACAGTTGTTCATATAAGTCTTTTTTCCTCCTGTAAAGTGGGCTAAACAAGCCCGATGAGAAATAGAAGGAATAAAGTTTTTGCTACTAATTAAAGATTTTTACTAATTAAAGCCATTTTTTATCAAATTACTTTTCTTTAGGATGATGTAAAATCATTTTACATTTTTAAAATGTTAATGTTTTGTTTTTGAGCGAATTATGGTTGCATATTGGAACACAACAAGTTATGCCACCGCGGTATTTTTTTGTTGTAGTTGACTCAACAGTAATATTTTCGTTAATAGAATGAGTTATTAATTATCACAAGATGTTATATCATTTGAAATCATTTTGAAAAGTCTTTTTAAATTAAATTACTTGACTGTTTATTTTAAAATGTTTTTAAATCTAATTTGTTTATTTTCGGTGAATACAAAGACCAAAATGCATTGCGGTTTTTTTCTATAGAGGGAACGGTCCATTCAATTATAAAGACTCGTTGTCCTAAAAATATACTCGCTAATAATTTTCTACTTTTATTGTGAATGTAAGTTACGCTATTCATTACGCTACTATATTCATTATATTTATATAACTGTTTGTATAATATAAATTTTATTAATAATTATTTTAAAAATATGAAAGTGTGAAACTAAAATGTTAGAACTTTCATATTTTAATATTTAACATGCTTGCATGTTAACATTTTGCCTCACCCAACGCAAAACGGCATGCAGTTTATTGATAAATATTACCCTATGTTTAGAAAACAGATTGAAAAGTATCGTCAATTATAAAGAGAACACCTAAACCATTTTTATAATGAAAAAAAATTATCAAAAACTATTGTTACCCGTTTATCACGAGCAACAATAATTTGTTTTATTTACTATTTATACGTTCCCGATAGTTAATCAATGTTATCGATTATTGCAATGATAACCATGGTTATTTATAATCAATCGTTGATAATAAACATGGTTACTGACAATCGTTATAGTTTCTGATCATGCTTGTCAAATTATGATCGGCAGTGAAAACAATGGCTAATAAAAAATTGTTAATAGTTATTGCTTAAAATAACGTTTAATTATTGATCGATTTTGAAACTAGCGGAAAGTTTCCTTTGTTATCTTTATATAAACTAACGCCTGTTTTTTAGTAAATTTTTAAAAATCTAAAATACAAAAAATTTTTTCCCTCTTATTTCATTATTTCAAGTTTTTCATAATTATTTTATTTCATTTTTTCATATCTAACTTTTCTCCGTTTATTTCACAGAACATCTTGAAAAGTTTGTTAGAAACATTATTGAAAGTAAATAATTAATTTTATAAGTTTTAAATTTAATTATTAAACAGATTTTTATGTTTTTTTAATGTTTAATTCTTTTTTTTTTAGGAATTATTTACCAACTTGATTTTTTGTCAAAATACAAAGAATTATTTTTTTTTTTTGTCGTTTAAAATATGAATAAAATAAAGAAATATGAGAAATAAATTGAAATTTCGAAACAAAAATAAACAAAAAAAGACCATAATAATCAATATAAAGTGATGAGTTTGTTTTTACGAATATTGTAGTATAAATAATTGAACAAGAGTAATTCGTCAGAAGATTTTAAACATCGTGCCGATTAAACTAAGGATAAACTGTAACTAGTAGAAACTATCTATTTTGTCTGTAACTATAAAAAATTATCTATTTTGTCTGTATCTAGTAAAAAATATCTATTTTGTAAAACTGTCTTTGTCCACAGTTAATAAAAGCTAGTTACTTTTTCTGTAACTATAAGAACATACTATGTATGTAATAACTACTACTTCAAACGGTCATAATCATTATATAAGTGTCGGCTAAATAATATTAGTATATTATAAAACCTAACATGAAACAATATAGTTTTCAACTATATTGTTTACATTTTTACTTTTAAAAGTTGCTGAGCTTTACATTATGGTTACAAAAATAACGCATACCATTGAACTGTGTAAATCACGTTTTTTACAAAACTTTTGAAGCAACATTAACTGTTGCTATAAAAAAGGGAAAGCGTAAAATTGTAGAATGTCAACAATTTATATTAATATTTATGAGTATTTTTATTGTTCGCGATATAAATTTACCAATAATACTTCATTATTATTACAATATTCAATAAAAAAAAAAGCGTATAAAAACTTTAAGTGAACAAAAAATCAAAGTTATTAATACTAAGACAACTAAATGTTACTGATGACAAGCAACCAATATGGCAACCAATGACAACAATAATAAAATATAATAAACATAGTACTGTATTTTCAAGCTACATTACGTTATACGTAAAATGAACAAAACAACTAAAAATAAAATACTAAAAGTACAAGTAAATACTTAATACCTTTATCTGTTACCTGATCGTATAGTCTGTAGGAAAGAGATGAAACAAGGATACTTAAAAATAAGGTAAGCAAGCTACATTTTTTCATCTTTGTAAATGAAACCTTTAAAATTAAGCTGAAGTAAAATGAGTATTTTTAAGTTGAAAATTCTTGCGAATATATATAAAGGAACACTTTGTTAAACTCTCACAATAATTTATTCTCTTTGCATTCACGATTTTAACTGACTTTGTATAAACTTAAGAAAAAAACATTGTTGGATTTTTAATTAAGCTTTTTTTATTGTCGTAAACTTGAATATAAAAGCTTATCAGTTTATTATAACTGATTTAAACGTCATAATATCACGTGGGATAAAAGTTTATAGTGGCTTTTAGATTATTTTTGATGGTAAATATTTTTGTTAATAAGTACAAAAGTTTTCAAAAATCATGTAAAATAATTTTAAACAATACTCAATAAATCCATATCTGTAAAAAATTTTTATGCTTTTTTTATTTTAGTAGTATTTAAGAAAATGTAATTTACAATTTTATGACCTATAAAGACACAATATTTACTAAACATTTTTTGAAATACAATTGTTGCTGTAGTAACGTATTACCGTTAAACAAGGAATATTTTCAACATAATTAAACCTTTGTTTTAAAAAATGGAAATTCAAACAAATGTTTCCATAAGGAAGTAATTTTAAACTTTTAAAAAGTAAGTTTTTAGCGACAGTTGTGGGTGTTTTTCTATTGTTAAAATGAATCGTATAAATAATTTAAAAAAATGAGAAGAAAAATCATAAAAACCTGTGTTTAAAAATAAGTTAACATAAACTACTTTAGGATTGTTTTTTTTAATTTAAACTTTAGGTAACTTTTTCTGTGAAAAATTATTTACTTTAGAATTGACTATATATATATATATATATATATATATATATATATATATATATATATATATATATATATATATATATATATATATATATATATATATATATATATATATATATATATATATATATATATATATATATATATATATATATATATATATATATATATCTTTCGCTATGGGCTACTCTGTGGCGCGCTTATGTAGTGTAAGCATGCTGAGCCATTATGAATGACAAAATACATCAGGTCAAAACATTTTAGTTTTACTGTAACCTCCAAGGTGCCAAGTTAATTTATTATCACTTTTTTTTATCAGAATTTTTGCTGACTGGTTGGAAAGTAAGATGACCAAAAATAATTTCTATTAAATTATATTTTAAAATTAGTTATAATGTGTTATAATTATATTTATTTATAAATATATTTATCTATTATATTTATATAATATATTAATCTATGTTATAATATATCAGGTCAAAACATTTTAATTTTACTGTAACCTCCAAGGTGCCAAGTTAATTTATTATCACTTTTTTTTATCAGAATTTTTGCTGACTGGTTGGAAAGTAAGGTGACCAAAAATAATTTCTATAAAATTATATTTTAAAATTAGTTATAATGTGTTTGTTATATGTTGAGCAGCTGGCTCAGAACCCAGAGGTTCGAGGTTCGACGCCAGCTCTAGCCCAACAAGCGACTTTGGTACGGAAGGAGGCGTGAACTTCTTGTTAAATGCTCTCCCGAAGTGCTCTATGATAAGACCGTAAGGACTTCTGGGAGCACCTAAATACATACAAAAAAATATATATATATCTATATTTGTAATAACATTTTGTTATTATACATTTTTAAAAGTTAATTCAAAGTAAATTTTTAAAAATTAGAATGTATATTATATTTAGATATTTATTCTAGAATGCCAAAAATTGCAAACATAACGGCTCACTTGTGTAAAATAATTTATAAGCGAAGATAAGACGGCGAATCTTTGCAAAATATTGCCAACATATTCCACATTTCAAGAGAAAGTGTAAATAAAGTTTAAAAATTTTTTTTAGGACCGGAACCATTTTTTTTTATCGTAAAGTGGCCGAAAACGAAAGACTAGATCTCATCAAGACCCTTTGTTGCAATTAAGGCAAAGAAAAGACCATGTGAAATAGAAATGACAAAAATAAATTAGATGGCCATGTGGCTAGAAAAAAACTGTTTGTTTCAAAAATTAATGCCGCAAAGAGCCTGAGGTTTGCCAGAGAACATGCAGATAAGTCTCAAAAATTTTGGGAAAGAAAAATCAAAATTAAACTAAAAACCTCAATTCGTATCCAAGAAGGCGTGGAGAAGGTCGCAAGAAGCCAATAAAGATGCTGTAATAAAACGTAAAATAAAAAATGACGGAGGTTTTTATATGGTTTTGGGCTGTATAAGCTTTCTTGTAATGATAAAGAAAAGTTATAATTTATTGATAGTAAGATAATTCCTTAAGGCTACTTAAATGTAATATAAAATAATTTTTTGAGATTCAGTCAATCAATTAGGGCTTATGGGCAACTACATATTTTAATAGGATATTAAAATATGTAGTTGCCCATAATATGTAGATGATCCAAAACATACTGTCAAAATTACAAAGAATTTATTGGTAAAAAATCACATTAATTTTTTACCACGGTCGCCGCAGAAACCTGAATATAACCCGATAGAACATCTTTGGGAAAAATTGTACTGCAAGATACCCCAAAACGAAAAAGAATTTAAAACTAAATTCAAATGAGCTCTGCTAAGAGAATGCCTCTGCAGAGGAAATGTCAAGTGGAACTCTGCAGAAAAAATGCCTCAAGAATTCATTGAAAATTAATGCACAGTATACATAACCAATTGCTAGAGCTCATAATATTAAGTGGTTATATACCGATTATTAATCTTTTTTTAATAAATATAAAACAATTAACTTTTTATAATTTTTCTTTCTTGTCATCTGTCGGTTTGTGTTATCAAAAACCTAAATGTATTTTAGGTTTGTAACATTAATTAATTTATATAACTACCACTGAAAATAATGTATTAATGTTTGGAATAAACATATTTTAAATTTACAGAAAAATAACATCAGTAGTTTAAGTGGGCGGCCAAATTATTAGTTACACTTGCAAAAAATATCAAATTAACAATTTTAAGCTTTTTTACGTATTCTTGTGTTAAATTTTTATATAAATATTGGTGCTACTAGCATAAATAAATATTTTTCTTTAAAAAGTAAAGCACTTTTTTAAACACTATTACTATTTTTAAGCATTTATTTAAGAAAACTCATAATACAAAATGTTTTTTAGTATTTGGTTGGGCCGCATTTTTCATCAATTACTGCTTGTATCCTTCTTGGCGTAATTTAAATGCAACTCTTTATATTTGCTTTTAATTCCTGATCATTATACCAAGCATTATTTAGTGTTTCTATGAGATATTTTTTATTGGTTATAGTTTCATGCCAAATTGTCTGTTTTATAAGTTCCCTGGCGTTCTCTATTGGGTTTAAAATGTGAGAATTGCCAGGCTATAGTAAAACAGTAACATTTTTGACTTTTTTTTGACTTTAAATATCTTGTCACTGATTTAGCTTTATTTGCATTGGGCAGTCCAAATACGTCTTTATGCAATCATGCATAAAGACGTATTTGGATGGATCAGGAAACCAATCATGTAACTGAGGAAATAATTTGGTAGCTAATAGTTTTTTATATTTAACCTAGTTCATCAACCCTTTAACTATATAAAGAAGGTCACTGTCCTTACCACTTATAACTGACCACACCATCACCTTTAGTGGGTGTTTTACCATCTCCATAACACAGTCTAGGTTATATTTTTCTTCTTTCCTTCGTCTAACAAAAAAAGACTTATCCATTAATATTTCAAATCGGGACTCATTTGAGAAACACACCTGAAAATAATCAAAAATGATAATATAAAAAATCATATAAATGTTTTAATCAATGATGCTGTTGAACCAAACAGTTAAACAAGTATTTACTTACACTTTCCCAATCTTTAGCAGAGATATGTAGGCGTTGTTTACCCTAAGTGAGGCGTTTTCTTTTTATTGCTGGCGTATGTTTAGGTTTCCTCGCAGGTCTGTAGCATTTAAACCTCAGTTCTACTATTTGACCCTTGAAGTTCTGTTAGAAATCTTGATACCGGTTTCTTGTATGATTTTAGTAACTGCTTTTGTACTTTTTCTTTCGTTTTTAACACAAATGTAACGAATTGTCTGTTCATCTCTCGGAATAGTGATGCGGAGTCTGTCACATTTTCTACTTCTGATACTTTGTACAGGTATTTTTTTATCATGTTAACCTTTGATTCTCCTGATTGTCATCACTGAAACTTTACCTAAATTTGCAATTTTTCTTTAGGAATGTTTTAATAAAGCAGATATTTATGAAATTTTATCGTTTTATATATCTTTAGCTTTTCTCATTTTTCGGCGCTATAGTTCAAATATTTTTAGTTAAAATTATTAACTAATGTAAAAAAATGAGTCAGAGTCACAAAAATTCTAAACAGTTGACAAAAATTTTAATTATTATACACACACACACCAGTAGCAGACGCGGATATTTTGCTATTTCAGAATTGACACAGATTTGAGAAAATACCAAACTTAAGTAGGGTAGAGCCGGGCTAGTTGAGCAATTACTAAATCTAATAGATCTCATGAACGGTGCGTCAGATTTACATAACTTTTTCAATATTTGAAAGATAATTTTACTTGCTAAAAATTTGTTAGGAAAAAAGTATAGTTTTTGATTTTTTTGAATAGATATTGTCTTAAGTTTGTGGAGTTGCTCAACGAAAGTTTCGCACCATACATATTCGTTTATTTGTCGATTGCTCAACTTACCTCACACTATTGCTCAAACTACCCTAGCGGGGTGAGTTGAGCAATAGTGTGAGGTAAGTTGAGCAATCAATAAATAAACGAATATCCATGGTACGAAACTTGAGTGAACCATCAATAGAACTTTCACTAACAGTAAACGCGTGCATAATTTAAAAATATTTTATTTTATCCATTTTAATGACGTAAGTAAAAGAAGAGAAAAAATTAAATAGTAAGAAAGTGTCATAAAATGTAAAAATACTTTTTTATTCAACATTCTTGAACTTTGAAGTCCGATTTAAAAATTACTTATTTTAAAAATATATATAGATAATGTACCGTTCTATTATTTCTCATCAAAGTTGTTTCTTTGTGTTCGATAATTTTATTTATTTTTTCAAACCTGCCCAATTTGCCCCAACTAGACTAGGTGACACATTAGTTAGGTTTTAATAAGAACAGTAAGACCTGGGAAAAAACAAGTAATTTTAATTAAAAGTCCAATAAATTAGTA